GGGGAGGAAGGACAGAGAGAAAAGGAGACACAGAATCTGAAGCAGGCTTCAGGCTCTGAGCTGTCAGCACAGAGCCCGACGCGGGGCCGGAACCCACGAACCGAGAGATCATGACCTGAGCCGAAGTCTGACGTTCAACCGACTGAGCCACCCAGGCGCCCCCAATCGGTTGGCTCTTGAAAGAGGAGGGAAGGAGGGAGACAGGGATTCGGGCTCACACTCACAGACTGTGAGATCATGACCTGAGGCGAAGTTGAATGCTTAACAAACTGAGCCCCCCAGACACCCTGAGATTATTAAAAAAAAAATCACAAACAAGTACAAATCACCCAAATGGGAGAAAAAAGAGCTATGTGTACAAGGAGTTCACAGAAAAGTTTACTCTAGGTTTTAGGCTACTCCTAAAGCTGCTTAGATTGCACGTTTTCTTCACCCTGGCCATTTTCAGTACAGGAAGTGAGGAGACACCTAATTTTGTCTGCATGGTGGCAGTTACAATGGACATTTTGAAGGATCGTAGCCCTGAAAGGTTTCTAGCAAGTGGAGTTTGGTAAATAGAAACGAACTCTCTGTGGACTTGGCTGTTTTAACCCACTGGAGGTGTATGATGGGTGTGATGGGTGACAGGCCACTGCTCTTTGTGACAGGTGAGGAGGCCAGCCTGAGTGCAGGGCTCCAGGGCTGAGTGGTGAAGGGGTGCAGAGGAGGCATTGAGAGTGGCTGGGCGGATGCTGTGGGCACCGATAGTCTCTCAAACCCCAGACTGGAGAGAGTTCCTCAGATTGGCCTCTGTCAGCCCCTGCAGCTCTGGGCCCTGTGTGGCGGTGACACGCCAGTAGTATCCTGCCTTCCCTCCATACCTGACACTTTTCAGTGGCGCTAATGATATCGAGGTCTTTTCTTCCAGCCACCACTGCGAGCAAGGGGGTCCCCTCTTGGCTTCAGCTTGCAGGGTGGGGTATTATCTTGTGGCTGTGGGTTACATTCTCACCATCGACTTCGGGAAACTTCTAAGAGCGGGTTCCAAATCTGCAGGTACATTTTGTCCAAGGCATTTTGGTGTTCCTGACCCGGAGCAATACTGATGTCTGGTGGGGACAGAGGGGTGTCAATCTGAAATGGGTCCTGGCCACAGATGGACTCAAGGGTGTCCCAGTGAGGCAGAGGAGGTGACAGAAATGGTGTAAACGGAAGTGGGAGCTTATCTGGAAATGGCGTCAGAGCCACCCAACAGTCCCAGTGAGCCAGCAGCATTTCCTCAAAGCACCAGGGGCCCAGTGTGGACCCTGGGAAGAACCAGCAGCCAGGAGGTGTGCAGGGTGGTGCAGGCAGCAAACTTCAGAGGCTCCCAAGTCCCCAGCAGGTGACAGTGGTCCTGGTGTCTTTCCAATAACCACCTCCCTTACCCCTTCTTCACAGAGCCCTTCACTCCTCATTGATTGGTTGAGGCATGAGCACGTGACATATCCTGGGCAATTGGGACCAGAAGGGAGGGGGGGGGTGTGCACCTGCGTGGGTTCCCTAACGCCTAGAGACACAAGCCAAAGGTGTCCCGTTTCCTGCTTCTGGACGGGACACCTGAACTGCGGCTGCCTCGCGACCGCAGGAAGAGCTAGTCGGCCACAAAAGCCCACCTGTGACGAGGACTGGGCCACAGGGACTGTGGTTTGGGCCCTGAGAGTCTGGGCCTGCAGCCAGTCTGGGCCCCTCACGTGACCTAGCTCTCCTCTTGTTTAATGGGGCGCCTGGGTGCCTCAGTTGGTTGAGCGTCCCACTTCAGCTCGGGTCACGATCTCACCGTTTGTAGGTTCAAACCCCGCACTGGGCTCTCTGCTGACAGCTCAGAGCCTGGAGCCTGCTTCGGATTCTGTGTCTCCTCTCTCTGCCCTTCCCCCATGCATACTCTCTCTCTCAAAAATAAATAAACATTAAAAAAAAAATAAAAACGAACCAGCAGAGTTAGAGTTTTCTGTCCTTGCTGTTGGAGCCTCATAGCTGATGCACGTATATGAAAGTTCCTTGGGTTTACTGTTCCCACAGCTGTCGGAATTTGGACTCAAGCGCGCACGAGTCCCTCCTGCTTGGCGTGATCGGAGAAGAGGGGCCCAGGCAGACAGGAGAAGAGGAAAGCCAATAAAGTGGCCCCGGGGCGATGCCATCGGCAGGGCAGCCCAGCCCCGGGAGAGGTGGCCCTGCCCGCCACCGATGGAAGGGGTCCCTGGGAGGTGACAATGCGACCAAAGAACTCTAACATCACATTTTTTGGTAAAAAGCAGTGTCCAAAAGCTTTTTCTTTTTTTTTTAAGCACTGACATTTGGGTAGAACAACAGAGAACAGACCTCCCCCTCCGGTGCAGACTGTCGGGAAGGAAGTAAAAGGAATGAGTGGCAGACAGTGGAGGTGCCCAAGGGGAATTCCAGAACCCAGAGGAGAGGATGGAAGGAGAGTAACTTACCCCCACCCCCGGAATCTCTAATGTGAGGGGCACAAAATGCCACTGCCGCTTGGAGTTCGCTGTGTTGATGTAGCTTTATTTCAGCAAGTACAAAATATTTATACGAACGTCACAGGCTCTCTCTGGAACAGACCCCCTCCACTGCGGTTGGCTAGGAATTTTCCTGCTGGGGGTGGGGGGGTGGTGGTGGTGGACAGAAATGGCCCTTGAAGCAGGCAGGAGCTGCCGCTATGCTCTGTGTCCTAGAGCTCTGGGAATCCCAGAGATTGACCACCTCCTAACGTGTCCTGGATGCTGTCCCCTGAGGTCATTCTGGTGTTTTATTGAATGCTGCCTGGGGACACGCTCTCTCCCTGCACACATGCCTGTCTTCTCTGAAGGACTTTGATCTCCCTAAAGGCAGGCCCCATGTCGCACCTTGGATTTCTTCTACCTCTAGCAGGTAGCGTGACCCTGGGGACATTATAAACACTCAGACGAGCCTCTGTGTAAAGTGAGTCTCAGGCGTCCACGGGGGGAAGCCCTTCGAGGGTCCCAACTCTGATGACACGGGTCTGCTCAGTGTGGAAGGTGAGTGTTGAGTTAGAGTTTTTGCTAAAAGGCTGCTCAGAGCGCCCGGGCACGGCCCCCTGGGCACACGGGTGTGGGAAGGATTCAGGGGTGCTGTGTGCTCTCATTCTGCCTCAGAAGGCTTTCTGGAAGCTTCTGGGACTGCACGGACACAAGCCGTAGGGAACATTCTCTTGGCAAAAAAAAAAAAAGTTTAATTCTAAAGACAACAATCCTGCTTGCTGGAAACGCACGCCTAAGTTTTGAGAACCGCACACCGTGGTGTAGTACCTCTATAGCTACAGACGCGAGAGAGAGAGAGAGAGAGAGAGGAGCCTGCTGAAGGCGGCAGGTAGGGTGGAGGCCTCACGGGCCGAGGCGGCCTACATGTCATAGAGCCGGAGCTGCTCCTGCACGTCGCCGTCCGTCATCTCCCCAAACGTCTCCTTGTTATCCTTCATGAGCTTGAAGATGGCCTCCAGCTGCTCCTTTTGCACTCTGTGGGGACAGAGAGGGGACAGAGGAAGAAGGTGCCCCGGGCCCGGCGCTCTCTGGGCCGGCACCGCGTTTGCATCCCGGGACGGCAAGAAAGGTAACCTGGAGCCAAACCCCATGAAGACACGCGAGCTGGCTGGACCGAACGGCTTCAGCTCAAGGGCTCTAAAAGCAGCTTCTACGTCTTGGGTTTTCCCTGCAGGTCTGGGGACCCAAGTGACCCTGCGGGTTTCCGTGCCTCTGTTTCCCCACTGGAGCCCTTGGAGTGTCGATCTCGTGCTTCCCGGGACCTAATGGGAAGGGCCTGCTTCCATTCCGTGGCTGGGGAGCCCACGAGGAACCACGTTAGCGACAGCCTCAGTTTGGAGGTTTGAGGATGAAACCACTGCGGGCTGGGAAGCAGGGGTGAACCTGGGGGCTTGGCCAGGGCCAGGGCAGGCATGGGGTCTCGCTCCCTGGAGGAAAGGGTGCCTCTTCCTACTTTGCACATGTACCTTATGGCCAGCGGGGGGCCCGAACCGGCCTGCACGCAGGCTGGGCGGCTGCGAGTGAAGGGCTCTCATCTTTTTAGTTCTTATCTATTTATTTTGAGAGAGAGAGAAAATGAACAGGAGAGGAGCAACTAGAGAGAGGAGAGAGAGAATCCCAAGCAGGCGCTGCCCAGTGAACACAGAGCCCGACGTGGGGCTCGAACTCCCGAACCATGAGCTCATGACCTGAACCGAACTCAAGAGTCGGAAGCCCAGCCGACTGAACCACGCAGGGGCCCCTGAAGGGCTGTTATCTTTAAGAGGTTCAGCCGCCCCAGCGGACCAGCACAGGTCAGCTCCTGGGAGCACAGACGTGAAAGGACGGGGCGCAGCTGTAGCAGGTTCGGGCCTCTCTGTTTCTGCTCCAAGCGCTGTCAGCCAGGCCGGCTTCTGCGGTTTCCCTGAGCAACCGCGCCCTGCGCACCGGCCCTCCCTGCGGCCAGCCCCGCACGCCAAGGCTTGGGCACAGCCTGCGGCCACCCAGCACCCACAGCACTGCCTGGCGCGGGGCGGGGTCCTAATGTCCGCTCTCGTCCCCCCAGACTCCTTTGGCGGTGACCCCTTATCTCCCATCCAGAGTTGGTTTTGTCGCTAGAGCAGCATCTAGAAGCTGAACTACTGCAGCCCGAATCCCAGCCTCTCTTCGTCATCCTGGGAACGTGATTTCTACGGTCCATTTTCCCGCCTGGAGGAGGAGAAGGCCGCCATAGGTATTCTGTACCCTACAGTTCGAGAAAAGCACTGGGAATTGAAAGGGTGCGTGTTGAGCTCCTTGGATGGAATCAACCTCCCTCCCACCCCAAGTAAACACAAATTCTCAGGTATTTTCGATGGCTTGGGCATTGTTCAGGGTTGCACTCTGCTAGACAGTCACAGGCATCAAAATGAAGGGGGGGGTGCTCAAATTCTAACAGGTTCAAAGGACATTATTTCTTAAAAACAAAGAGAAACTGAAAAAACACACGGTAACTGAGATCATCTACTCAGAGTTTATTGGGCTGAACAAAGGCTGAATACACAGATCCAAGCCGTCAGGAGAACGTGAGGCTTGGGGCCCGCGAGCCATGTTCAGAAAGATTCCGGACAACTCGCCAGCAAGGTGACTGACCTGGAGGGAGGCGGTCACCTGCTCACCGTATCAATAAGATCCCAGCCGGGACAAGGCTGTCGTATTGCTGTGTGGGGACCCATGTGCTAACGATACCTGTCAGGTCTCCGTGTGGCTGGTGTTCTGATCCGCGCTCCGTCCCTAAACCTGAGGTTTGAGGCCCAGAGGGGAGAGGACCACTGGGAATGCGACATGACCTTCCATCAGATGGAAAATATTTTTCTAAAAAACTCACTGCTTAAAAAAGGTCGTAACCGACACATCTAAAAACTGCGGACTAGTCTGGTAGAGTATAAATATCGTCCAATATAAAATTCTGAGAAAAGAATCCGGGACTGCTCTCATTGTCTCATGAAATCCTAACTCATCTATGAAACCTTCTAGGAAAAGGCATAGTCAAGAAATCTATTTAAAGCAAACTATTATTATTGCTTCTGCCAAAGCGAAGGTGGAGATTGGGCAGAGCTTGGTAAGAGCATCAGTGAAAAGGCTTCTTAGCAACCAGAGGGCTGGATCCAAGCCTCCTCTAAATGAAGACGAAGGGCAACGCAAATCGATCGATAGTGGGTGCTGCTTCTCTGCCGCGCCGCCACCACCATAGCGCCTCTCACCCCCAACCACCGCGCCCGAAAGGGGGAAGTGGGTCCCCAGGGAGGGGAAGACAATCAACCGACCACCCTGAGCTAGTGAGCACCGGCTTCTCACCCTCGTCTGCCTGGTTTGGCATCAGTGGAGGAAAAGGCAGCGGGGGCTGGAATGAAGCTACATGGGTTTAAAACGACGAGGCGACTGCCACTGGTGAGATCACAGGTGCGAAGGGGGTGCGGGGAGCTGGGTTCAGTGATACGAGAAACCAAAGTCTCTGAAACCCTCGCTTAACCAAGCGATCCACACCAACAGGGAGGAACACATCTCCCCTGGGGGAGGGGGTGGTCAAGGCGCCCCCCCGGCATCCTCCCTGCCGAGGGGACAGGTCCTGATGGAGGCTCTAGGTCCCAGCGGGTTTAGGTAGGCAAGTGGCACCTGGGAGCCCGCGTGGGGATTCCCATTCTATCTATCAAGTTTTTAAGATGTCAAAAGGAAAAGCCTTTAGCAGGAGGCTAAGGATAACTTCATTATTCTTCGGTTCTGTAAAGAGAAATAGGGAGAGAAGATCATTTGTTTTACTCCTTCCATCTTGCGAGTATCACGGTGGCGGGGGGGGTGAGAGGAGGGCGGGGCGCATGGGGATGACGGAGAGGATGTCTGGAATTGCAGAAGCCAGGCTGGACACTGGTTTCTCAGACACGGGGTGAGTTTGCTTCTCATCGCCTGCGGCTGGACAATGTGTTTCCCAGAGCGTGGCACCTCGGCAGCCCGCCGACCCCCGTTCTGCATCCATGAGGCATTTAGTTAGGCAGAGGGGACCCCGCGTCTAGGCCGCTGGGCAGAGGGCAGATGCCAGGACAGATACTCGGGGCTCCTGATCTTTGGCTATGTGCTTCCTTGGGCCCTCCCGTCATGCTCTTCCGAGTCCCGCTGGCTGGGTCTTGTCCCCGCTGGGGCCCTGTCTAAACAACACCCAGAAGCACGCAACCTCGCTGAGGGAACAGGAGACGTTTTTGTCCCTCTGGCGCCCCCTTCTGGAGGTCAGCATCAGCGTCGCTCATGTTTCCAGACCTTCCCATGGGCAAATCCTTTGTGGGCACACCAGGTTTCGGACAGCTCAGTATCCCACGGCCTGGGTTCCTCCACCCTGTCTCGCCCTCCCCTGTTATGCTGAACAAAACACCTTCCGCCAGAGTAGTGTCCACGCCCAGAAAGGCCCGACATTCCCGAGGACCTTCAGAATGGAGTGGGTGCTGGGGTCCCAGGCTCCCATCTATCAGAGCCAGGCTGGTCTACACTTTCCTCTGGACTGGAAGGTGGGAAGAACGGACGGCATACAAGGAGAGGTGTGGCCGGGGGCGCTTTTTCCTCTTCCTGCCAAGCCTCCAGCTTCACTGGCTCTGGGAGCCGGGGAGGAACAGTCAGCAGCCCGCACCCACCATCCCAGCTACACCCTGAGGCTGGATGTGGCGCCTCCCGGAGGAGCTTCGGTGGAAATGCACAGTCCCTCCACCGGGCACGGCGCGGCCAAGGACACCTGCGAGCTCTAGGCCCCAGGGGACACCTTGGAGAGGGGCTGCAGCCAGTGAGAAGTGGGGGCCGTTCTTAGGCAGCAGCTGTCTCTGGATTTGCAAGCCTTGCCATTTCCGACCCCTCGGGCAGAAGGAACCTGACCTGTGGGCAGTTCTAAGGATGGGGACGTCCATTTAAACACACGGAGGCACGATCTGGGGTCTTGATTTGAGTCCTGCTCCCTAAATGCCGTGTCCTGAAAACATATATACTTCAGGGGGGTCCTGGATCGTGTGACCATGACAGATTGGGGCTCTGGACACTGCTCTGCTGGCTGCGGTGATAAATTTAACGTCCGGGACTTACAGCATTTACTTGTTAACTAGCTTGCAGCTCAATGGGGACCCAGGGTGCCAGGAAAGGAATTAGAAGCAGGCGGGGTTTGGTCAGAAAGCATGTGACAGGCGAAGAAGAGAGCAGACTTGTTGCTGGCCTGTGATCTTGGTGGTCTGACCAGGATATGCCTGTTCTTTTTCAGACTGGGACTCCAGGGCCGCGCGCGTCCTAGACGCAGCTGGGACCTGACTTATCTTGCACCCCCCGGCTCGCTCCCGGGCCACATGGGAACCACCGTGCTAGAGATGAAAAGACAAAGCCAGCCTCGCCAGCCTCTGCGACCCCAAGCATCGCCGTGCAAGGGACAGAAGCAGCCGCGAGAGGGGTGCGCGTCAAGGGGCCCCATGCAGTGCCGCGTGAGGTGGCTGCGTGCAGGGATAGGAGGGAGCGGGCACAGGCAGACGCGTCCAAGAGCCGCGGGGAGCATGCAGGGGAAGGGCGGTGATGAAAATGAACATGAACTCCGGCTCCACCCTCCGAGGACTGTGTTTAGCGCCCTGCTTCTCAACTTGGGGCGCAGCGGTGATAACCACAGCCTGCAGATGAGGACAGATCGCCTCCTTCACCCCAAGAGCAGCACAGCGGCACGGCCTCCATCCCCAGAGAATAGCCAAGTGTGCACTGGTGTATGACAAGCCCCGAAAGACTGTGGCGAAAGACCCTCCCTACTGCCAAGGTCCCAGCTGGGAGCCCAGTGACAGTGGCCGTCTGACCCCTGGCCCGAGGCCTGGCATCCGTCCCCTAACTGGTCCCTCCTGTCCCAGTGGCTCCTCATGCCCGCGGGGAGCCTCTGACCAGGCGGGTCCCAGCCACAGCTCCGTCCACAGGGACCTCTGAGGGACCACAGGTGCATCCAGCTCTCCCTCTCCTTAATCCTGGGGCTGCAACATGTTTCTGTAAAGGGCCCGCTACGGACTCTTTGGGGGCTCTGTGGGGCTACTCATCCCTGCTGCAGCAGCGTGGAAGCTGCCACGGACCACAGGGAAACCAGAGTGGCCGTGTTCTGGTCACACCGAGCATAGTGACCAGGGCTGTAGTCGGCCACCCCTTCCTCTGAGCAGAAAATCCTGCCTGTCCCACAACTAGGGAGCGTGAGGTTTTATAAGCTGCACCACCTTCTTAGGGCGGGACTAAAGCGGCAGGGTGACACCAGCCTCCCTGGTCCCCAAGGAGATGACAGTTCTGCCCCAGCCTCACAAGGGGGCGCTAGCTCCCTGCCAGCTGGTCCCTGAGGCCTGCTGGGGACTCGCGCATTCACTGGGCTCCCGGAACCCTGTAGCCCTGGGGGGAGGGAGGCGCCTGGTCATCCCCGCCCCCGCCCCGCCCCATGGGAAAGAATGAGCAGAATGAATTAATTGGTTATGAAGGCGGCGGAGGTGGGGGAGGGTTAGACCACGCCAGTCATGTTGGGGACACACCGACAGACAGGAGAAGGGAAGCCCCAGTGGTCTAAGAAGCCAGTCTCCTTACCAAAAGGATTTGCAAGATTATGTGTGGCTCAGGACCTAGAGAACGCGCTACAGGGAAGTGAGGTCAGAGGTCAGCTCAATCCTGAAATATAAAGGCAGCAAACCGGGTCACACCCAGAGGCAGTGTCACCAGCACGGAGGAGTTGGGGGGGGCCCCCCTGGAGGCCGCGTCCCCTGCTCCGGGTCATCCTCGCGCTGGGCCCACACTGCCACCCCTCTGCCCCCAGGCTGGGTTTGGAAGAACCGGGAACAGACGCAGGAAGGGAAATGGGGAGTCTAGCGAGTAGAGCGCCTTCTGATTTTTGAGGGACCCTGAGTGGCGTGGCCAGTGGCAATGAAAGGGTGGTTGAGTCATGCAGTCTGGAATAATAAACTGTCCTGTCCCCTGTGACCCCAGAACCCCAGCTTGTGCTAACGGGCAGGCGGTGGTCACAAGCCGGGGCTTCTGTCTGGACTCCTGCTTGAACCGAGGCGTGCCAGGCTCCAGGCCGGCCAGGGGGCCAGAGTCCCGGTTCCCTCTTTCCCGGCTGTTCTGCTGTTTCCAGAGTGTTCCTTGGCGCGCTGGTGGACGGAGCGCAGAGGACACGCGGAGGGAAGCCCACGGGTGTGCAGGGGGTGTCCGGCGGGGGTGGGGGGGGGGAGCCGGACTCTAAAACTGAGGCGCTACGCAGCGGCGTCTGCCGCCGGGCTCCAGGGAGCAGAACAGACACAGAAGGAGCGGCTAAGTGGATGAGCAGGAAGAATCGAGCTCTGTCCTGAAGTGATGGATCGGTTCTGTCAGGAACTCTGTCTGCTCCAGGCCCCTCCCTGGCATCTAACTCTTTCCCTCTGCAGGGAGGCGAGGGGCGAGGGGGCAGGGCAGGGGCTCAGCCGCTCCTCCCGAGAGCGCCCCAAGGGGACAGACAGGAAAGAACCCCTAAAACAAAATCAAAAGGAAGGGTGGCGGTGGGGGAGGGGGGAGGCGGCTTGCCCGAGGCTCCGAGGGCGGGGGCCGGAGCGACGCCGTCGGAGAGGAAGGTGCGCAGCCTACCTCTGTTCCTCCTCCAGCTCCTCTCTGGTCATCATCTTCTTGTACTGGTTTCCCCGCAGCTTCCCGGGGCTGTATTTAAAGGACAAGATCTCTGCCCCTGCAGAGAGGACACGGGGGAGGGTTAGGGTCTGGGGCGGGGGCTGGCTGCCTCCCACAGACTCCGAGTCCCCTTCCCCCCCACCCCCCGCCCCATCCACCCCAGCGCCCACGTCCGTGCTGCCCAGGCCTCAGAGAGAGCACCTGCGAGGAAAGAGGAGCGCTTTCGGGAACTCGAAATGGGGACGCGGAGACACGAATGAGACAGCTGCAGGGAAATCAGTCCCCTCCTCAAACAGTACGGCTCCGTCCCCCAAGTGCTGGACACCCCCGCCCCCAAGGCAGGGTTGAGCCGCCCACAGAGCTGCCTGGCTGCCCCTCAAGGACGCAAGGACCCTCGTCTTTGAAGCCCCTCCCCACCCCATTACATCAGACCCAGTGGGCTGTGCCAAGGTGCTGGGCTCCCTGCCTCTCCTAGGGTCCCAGGCCCGGAGGGGCAGCACAGGGACTCCTGGCCGTTCTGCCCAGGTGCTCCAGGCTCTGGGGCCCTGGGGGTGCCCGCCAGCTACCAGCAATCTGAAACCACGCCTCCAGCTCACAGTAGGTCACGGGAGTGATGTGGGACTCCCGCCATGTTCACGCCATGTTGAACTTGGCCATCCAAACCAGTACAGAGCACTGACTCGGTGTACCGGATCGCCCAGCACCAAGAGCAGACTCCTTTTTTTTAATGTTATTTTTATTTTTATTTTTGAGAGAGAGAGAGAGAGAGAGAAAGGCAGCGTGAGCAGGGGAGGGTCAGAGAGAGAGGGAGACACAGAATTTGAAGCAGCTCCAGGCTCTGAGCCGTCAGCACAGAGCCCGACGTGGGGCTCGAACCCACGAACTGTGAGATCATGACCTGAGCCAAAGTCGGACGCTTAACTGACTGAGCTCCCCAGGCGCCCCCCAAGAGCAGACTCCTTCGCTGCCTCAGAACAAACAGTCTCCAGCCCTGATGACGGGGCACACCAGACGCCTGGACAGAGAAGAGCGGGAATGTGCGACAGGAAGCCAGGGCAGGCACTGGGCAGAGGCTGCCAGGGCAGGAGGGAAAAGAGCTTCAGAGCGTAGCCCTGGGCTCAGCCTCCGTGGGGGAAGAGAGCCCCCCCCGCCCCGGGAATTGATGCCCGTAAGTGGTCCTTCAGCCCAGCAAGTGGAGGAAGGGCAGCCGGCCTCTGGCTGCCCCGGGAACAGAGACAGAATGGCTTGTCTTGTCTAATTTCCATTAAGGCAGAAAAGAACTGAGTAAGGGAAATGCGGAGGCCAGCACATCACCCTCGCACGCAGATGTAGTCCTTTTCAGGGCTGTTCGAGAGGGGTTACCTCTCTGTCACTCCCGTGTCAGGAATCTCGAACGCTTCCACATCCTGCAGCCAGGCCACCCTGACCTCTAGTCTCCCGCTTGATCAGACAGGCTGCTGTGGGCTCAGGGAGGGGGAAGAGGCCCTGGCCTCCCCGATTCACGTTCTCTCGGGGCTGAAGGAAGAAGGTTCTGGATGCAAATTCAGAACCCAAATGATACATGGCAGGAGCTGCGACCTTGCCTTGGGGAGCAGTTACCACATTTGTACCAGGATTCGCGGGCTCCTTATTCTTCCTGCAGACATGAAGGGAGCACTCTGCTAGGGGCTGGGGGCTTAGCAGTGAATAAAACGTGCAGCAAAGCAAAGTAAAACACAGCGTATGACGCTGATCATGAGCGCTCTGCAGGAAGAACAGGGGTGTGGGAGGCAGGGAGGGGGGTGCTTGGAGGTTTCACTGAGGGCGGGGGTGGGGGTGGCTTTATGGATGATAGCTGAGAGGGAGCAAGCCCTATGGTGTCTGGGAGACAAATCCAGTAAAGCAGGGAGGCCAGTGGCACTGGGTGGCAGAGAGGGGGGCCAGGCTACATGGTTGGGGAGGGGGATCTTCCGCAGAGACAGGAGAATCCCTTCCCACCCACCCCCACCTCTCACTGGAGACCCCTGTCCCCACTGGCTGGCTCTTCTGGAACAGAGCTCAGCTGACAAGCCAAGGACCGGGTCCTTGTGGGGGCTGCGAACAGCGTCAGGTATGGCCTGTCCGCATCTGAGGACCCGGGCACTTTGCCAAGTAATTCAGAGCCCCCTGGTCTGAGGGTTCCGGATTGCCAGGAAAGCCCTGAAAAGCCTGCCGTGGGGCGGAATCACACAGAGCTACGGTCTCGGAATGAGCTCACCGCCCACGCACCAACAGCGCTCGCTTCCGGACCTCCGAGAGAGGCAACGAAGAAACCCAGTTACCCTCAACATCAAGGTCATTGTGTCGCTGTGTTTTAGAAAAATAATAGTTTTAGTTCTGCCGGCTGGGAACTAACTCAAGGTTTCAATTTACGGGGCAGGACTGATTAGTGTTATGTTTTCCCGAGCTGGGAAGAAGGAACGAACATGGAAAAGCCTTTCCCTTAATTACATCACACGGTGTGCACCGAGGGATCTGCGGCCGCATCCAGTGTCCAATCTTGCCAGATTGGGGGCGGGGGGGGTTCAATGTGCGAGCCTCCCGGGGAGGAGGACTTCTTCCTGCAGCCTTATGTGATCACCAAGTCGCTTAGGAAGGGCATCTTAGCGACACTAATCAATTAGCCTGGGAGCTGAGCCAAGGGGCTCACTCTTCTTTCCTCTGACAGCTGAGGCCATAAACCTCCCCTCCCCTCCCCTCCCCTGCCTTGTCAGAGCTGGAGAATGGGGGATGCCTGGGGGGGCAGCAGTCAGATAAGGAGGGAGGGCCCAGTGATGAGGCACATGCTTGGGGGTGGGGCTAGTGTCCTGGCCCAGGGGCCTCCAGTGGCCTCGGCTCCTGCCCCTTTCTGTGTCCCCAAGTCACTAATGGGATCCCCACCTCCAAGATTCCTGTAGCTGCCTGGGGCCACGAGGCAGGGACAGACCCCAGGGCACGGTTCCCGTGCGTCTCTAACCCGCAGACGACAGAGAACCAGCAGCGGCAGGGAGAGCAGGGCCCCCCCCGCCCCCCGGCTCCGCTGCCTGCCGGTCCCCCTTCCTCTGAGGCGGTACTGACTGCGGCTGCAGCCTGTGGGGCCCCCAGCGCAGCCCCGCCGCCAGCCCACACGGCCACGCCGGCCGTGCTCACTGCATTCCTGCAACCCGCTCTTTCCACGGCCCTTGCCAGCCGCCGGCCAAAGGTCTCAGCAACAGTCTTGCTTTTGACAAATCGTGAAATACTTGAACTAACACAAAGCACGTCCTTCACGTCCTGGCTGTATAGACTTAACAGATGTTGACGTGTTGCTATTTTCTGTTTTGTTTTTTCTTAAGCTTATTTATTTATTTTGAGGGGGAAGAGGCAGAGAGAAAGAGAGAGAATCCCAAGCAGGCTCCGCACCAGCAGCTCACAGCCTGACTCAGGTCTCGAGCTCACAAACTGTGAGATCATGACCTGAGCCGAAATAAAGAGTCGGACGCTTAACCGACTGACCGAGCCACCCAGGGGCCCCTGTTTTTGATTTTTGTTTTTAAGAAATAAAACACGACCGACCCAGCGGAAAACCATGGCACAGGGATCTCAGAGGTGGGGATCCCATTAGTGACTAGGGCACGGCCCCCGTGGGCGCCCGGGGCAAGCCCACCGCCTTCCTCCTGGTGAGCTGTGAGCTGGCCAGTTTCCTTAACGCCCCCGGTCATTTCTGCTCGCTTCCCCGGGGCCGACCTGAGCTGGGTGGCAGGGGGGGTCTGGCCAGTGAGCTCGAGCTGCTCTGCTCGGGAATCAGGCGTCTCCTCCCCTGGGGCTTTCATTCAGCAGAATTCAAGGCCGTGGCCCGTGGTCCTGTGAGTGGCTTTCGTCTCCATAAAATAGGTCAGAGATGTTTGGGGAGAAACTGAAAGGCACAAGCAGGTAGCAGCGGGGGGGCTGGGAGGCACCGCAGGAGATGGAAGCTCAGGTGCTCAGTGCTGGCAGAGGGGGGCCATCCGTGATGGGAGGTGACTTGTGGTTTAGAGGCAGGACAGTGGGGGGGGAGGGGGGAGGGGGGAGGGGGGGGGGGGGGAGGGGAGGGGTACGCCCTGGAGGCCGGATCCCACTCACCATCTTCTTCCTCAGGCTCTGCCTGGAGTGGCTCCTCCACATCCTGCTCCTGACCCTGCTCCTCTTCCTGCAAGGCAAGGAGAGAGTCAGCGCCCGGTGCCCGGAGCTCGAGACGGTTCCTTGGATCCTGTCATCCCGGCGCCCGAGCCCTCGGCAGGTCACCGATGTGACCCTGGCCCCCTGGCAGGAGAGATGTGCCACAGCAGCGGGGGTGCTGGAGGTGAGTGACTGCCTTGGGGAGGTGGGGCGGCGGTGGGCCGAGCGTCAAGAGATCAAGAGAGAGGCCGCCGAGGGCCAGGCTGAGCCCACACGGCACGGGGGCCTGTCCGTTGGGCCCGGTCGGGAGGACCCCAGTGGGGGCCACGGTTAACAAAGCAGGTGGAACCCATTCAATCTCCGCGCTAACGCTGTTTGGCCGAGATGATAAGGGGGAGGCCGTGGGCCGAGGAGCTGTGCTTTTGACCTTTGCACCTCAGTCTCTTTACCCTTCCCGGAGTGGGGGGGTGCTTGCCAAAGCCTTTGGATGCCAGTTTGGTGAGGGGGCTGGGGACGCCCATCTTGTGCTCTGGCAGGTAGAACTAAAGGCACGAGAGGAAAGCTGGCGGGCCGTCTGGGGCCAGGCCAGCACAGAGAAGGTGCGTTCCCGGGCTCTGCCTCCGGGAACCTCATTTCTCCCATTTTGGGGTCTATCTTCCCCCACCCCCCCACGGGAGCTCCCCCTCCCTCAGGCCCGCCGCTCTCCCATGAACGGACTCAATAAACAGATGTCTGGGGGCGCCTGGGTGGCTTAGTCGGTTAAGCGTCCGACTTTCGCTTGGGTCATGATCTCGCGGTTCGTGGGTTTGAGCCCCGCATCGGGCTCTGTGCTGACTGCCAGCTCAGAGCCTGGAGCCTGTTTCAGAGTCTGTGTCTCCCTCTCTCTCTGACCCTCCCCTGCTCACGCTGTCTCTCTCTCTCTCTCCTAGAAATAAAAAAAAAATAAAAAAATTTAAAAAATAAATAAATAAACAGATGTCTGGAAGGAGCATCCTGAGATGGCCTTCTTGGGAGGAAGGAGTGACTTCAAGCTGCAGGAATGCTGGGGGGTCCCGGGATTGAAGGGCGCGGCGGGGACAGGCGGCCCGGGAGCTGTGATGGACAGCTGGCCGGTGGATCTGGAGACACCCCCGGTTTACGAGGAGGAGGCACACACGGGAGTGAGCTCCCCAGGCGGAGAAGGCAGCACACCCAGGCCTCTGGGACTCGGTTCCCGGGTGCCGGGGGTGCAGCCAGGGTGGTGGGGAGGAGCGGCTGAGCGGAGGAGCCCTGTCCCTAACAGAGCCGAGTGAGCAAAGCTGGGGTGCAAGTGTGCGCAAGCCCAACCGCGGGCCATGAGCGGTGAGCCCGGAAGAGCCCTGACTTTCTCCCTCTCTCACAGAAGGCAGCCGCGAGGAGCTGGGCTGGAGACTCTGCATTCCATCTCCATCAAGCTCTGCCCCAAGTGTGAGAGGTGTTGCCCGGAGCGCAGGTCAGTACCTGGCGCTTGGGAGTCCGGATGCACCGAGAATTTTGCGCAGCAAAGCGTCTTTGTGGCTGTGGGGAGGGGCGCAGGCCCCTTCGGGGGAGGCAGGGAAAGGAGACACCCCTGTGACCCAGCACACCCACCACGAGCGATCAGTTCTGTGCTGGAAAACCATCTGTCCGGCTTTTTCTACAAGGACTCTGATTTTGTGTCACAGTAAACAAGCCAAACTTGAAACAACTGAATGTTCATCCTTAGAGTGAAATGTATTTGGTTAATGCGTTCGTCAAAATATTAACAGCACACACACACACACACACACACACACACACAGAGTGCAACACTGTGCATTAAAAAGGAGGCAGCCGGGGGCGCCTGGGGGGCTCAGTCAGTTGGGCAGCCGACTTCGGCTCAGGTCATGATCTCACGGTTTGTGAGTTCGAGCCCTGTGTCAGGCTTTGTGCTGACAGCTCAGAGCCTGGAGCTGCTTTGGATTCTGTGTCTACCTCTCTCTGCCCCTCCCCCGCTCATGCTCTGTCTCTCTCTCAAAAATAAACATTAAAAAAATTTAAAAAGGAGGTAGCCATACACACTGATGTGAAAAATGCATCAGGACAAATTCCCAATAGGGAAAAGCAAGCAGCAGCACAGTGTGAGAGGGGCCGTCTTTGGGGTGTAAATATAAAAATGGAAATGCACATACATGCTCAGAGTCGCTTAGAAAAGGTTTTCCAGAAGGACACGCCAGACACTGTTAGTGGCTACCGTTGGGGAGAGGGGCCGGGGACAGCCTTTTCTTTTTATCTTACATATTTCAGTATAATTTGGATTTTCTAATATGCATGGATATACGTGGGTATCTCTGAATATATTTTTTAAATGGTACACACAGGTCTCTGAACAGTGAAATTTGTGATTTTTTAAATGTTTATTCATTTTTGAGAGAGAGAGAGTTCAAGTGGGAAGGGGCAGAGAGAGAGGGAGACGCAGAATCCACAGCAGGCTCCAGGCTCCGAGCTGTCAGCACAGAGCCCGACGCGGGGCTCGAACTCAGGAACCGTGAGATTATGACCTGAGCTGAGGTCGGACGCTTAACTGACTAAACCCCCCAGGGGCCAGTTGATAGCCTGGACATGATTTTAAGGGGGGTCAACCAGCTCACCGAGGTGCCCGTGGGAGAGGACTCTTCTACCCGCCCATCCATGCAGACTCCATACACAAGAGTTAAAATGAAAAACTTTAGCCTTCAAATGTCAGGGAAATAAGTATAAAAGGAATTTAAATAAGTAAATATTCAACTAATATGTACTGTAGCTTTGTAGCATTTACACTTCTTAAGTTATTAAAACTTAAAACTGCACTAAGACTTTGGAGGTACCCGTGTATCCCAGAATTAAATTAAAGATAAACAGTGTTATGTGTGTGGTAGAGATAGACAGATAGACACCGTTTTATAAAATTTCTTGTGTGGTTCTGTGGTTTTATATACAGGAATGCAATTTAAAATAGATTTTTAGGGGGGGCACCTGGGTGGCTCAGTTGGTTAAGTGACCCACTTCGGCTCAGGTCACAGTCTCGAAGTTTGTGAGTTTGAGCCCCGTGTCAGGCTCCGTGCTGACGGCTCAGAGCCTGGAGCCTGTTTCGAATTCTGTCTTTCCCTCTCTCTGCCCCTCCCCCACTTGTGAGAGCGCTCTCTCTCTCCCCCCTCAAAATAATAAACATTAAAAAATTATTTTAAAATTCTAGAACAAGAGCCACCAGTAAGGACTGTACCTCTGTTCCTTCCTACAACTCATTCTGCCTTGTGTCCTGCTTTGGCACGTGCGGTTTTACAGGTATGTTTTCTGGAACACTCTGTGCGTCAAAGCAACGTGGTGGGGGGACGGATGCTGAGGGATGCAGTGAGGCCCCAGAGGCCCCAGACGCCAGGCAGGGAGCACCACGGCTTTTGCAGTGACTGGCTGGAGTTTGGTGTGACTGCAGGGGGCCGCAGGGGTCAGGAGGCAGGGCTCGGACCTGGAAGATCTTGCATGGGACCAGGCTTTGAGGAGCATCCAGCAGCTTTTAAATGGCGAGGAAGAGGAGGAGACTGGCATTTTTGGAGCAGGAAGCAGGAAGGCATGGTGAGGGCAGGAGAGGGGGCAGGAAGAACTTCCAGAAGGGGGTTCAAAGTGCATGTAAGGCCTGGTCTGGGAGGCTAAGGGACTCGGCCCTCAGCTCAGTGTTTGTTGAGTGAATTCGTGGAGGCCTGGCTGCATCTGGTCCGAGGCAATCCCCTGGGGGTCTCGGGGTCTGAGTCCCACCCTGGGGCTTGCCCCGCCCCCCACAGCTCAGCCAGGACCACCCCTGGGGCAGCACGACCCTGGCAGCTGCTCGGTGCGCAGACTGCAAGCCCACAAAGCCCATCACTGTGGATTTCTTCTGTTGTTGTTGTTTTTTAATATTTATTTAATTTTGAAGGAGAGAAAGAGAGAGACCGTGTGAGCAGGGGAGGGTCAGAGAGAGAGGGAGACACAGAATCCGAAGCAGGCTCCAGGCTCTGAGCTGTCAGCACAGAGCCCGACATGGGGCTCGAACCCATGAACCATGAGATCATGACCTGAGCTGAAGTTGGACTGAGCCCCCCAGGCGCCACGATCGCTGTGGATTTCTTGTCACTGGCCTTGGTCCTGAGAGTGGCGCGTGGCATCTGTGTGCTGTGGACTCAATTATGTCCCTCCCCAATCATATGCTGAGGTCCCAACCGCCAGTAGCTCAGACTGTGACCCCGTTTGCAGAGAGAGCCTTTAAAGAAGGAATGAAGTTAAAACAAGGCGGTGAGGGTGTGTCCTACTCCAATCCGACTAGTGTCCTTCTAAGAGCCAACGCGTAAGAAGGCAACACACAGGGAGACACCAGGGGTGCATGTGCTGGTGAGGACGCAGCGAGAAGACGGCCCTGCAAACCGGGACAGAGGCCTCGGGGTGGGGTGGGGGTGGGGGACCGACCCTGGATCCCACAGTCCTGGACAAAAGAAACGGCTGTCTCAAGCCGCCCTGTCTGCGGCGCTTTGTCCCAGCAGCCCTCACAAGCCAAAGTAAATCAATTTTGTGAAAATGGTGAGTCGGCGACGCCCTCTGGGACAGACGGCTGGCGTCATCCTGGCTGGTCCTCAAAGCAGTCCCGGGCGGGGAACCCAACCCCATCCCCTCCCCGACCAAGAGCCCCTGCATTTCACTACTGGACGGAACCCGAGGGTTTTAACGTCACGTGTCCCTGGCCACTGCTCCGAGTCAGCCTTTTCCTCCGGTGGAGGGATGGGTGGGGGGCGAGGCAAAGCACAGGGGCCCCGGTCTCCCAGAGGCAGAGCAGGGAGGCTTCAGGAGCCAGTGCGAGCCTGCAGGCGGCTCATTACCATTTATGGTGGCCCGAGCTGATCCTGGCCTAATGGCCAGCGGCGCTGAAGCAGAAGATGGGGAGAGACAGAGACAGACAGAGACAGAGACAGGGTGGGGAAGAGGCAGACAGAGGGAGGGGGACGGGGGCAGGGAGAGAGAGAGAGAGAGAGAGAGAGAGAGGCAAATCTT